CAGGGACAGTGCCCAGGAACTGAGTTCAAGCCCCAGGACTGGTCAAAAAAAAAAATACTTAGTTCCATATCAAACCATACAGAAAATGTAAGTCAAGTCAGTTTTTGGTACAGTCTTCACCATTTCCTTTTCCTTTTCCACTTTTTTTTTTTTTGCCAGTACTGGGGCTTGAACTCAGGGCCTGGGCACTGTCCCTAAGCTTCTTTTGCTCAAGGGTAACTAGCACCCTGCCACTTGAGCCACAGTGCCACTTCAAACCCAGGGCTTCATGCATGCTAGGCAAGCACTCTACCACTAAGCCACAATCCCAGCCCTCACCTACTGTTTTTAATGTATGTGACTTTTAGTCATCTATTCTTGTTTGTTGTTTTTTTTTGGGTCCAGTCGTGGGGCCTGAACTCTGAGCCTGGGTGCTGTCCCTCAGCTCTTCAGCTCAAGGCTAGTGCTCTACCACTTGAGCCACAGTGCCACTTCCAGCTTTTTTTGCTTATGTGGTGCTGAGACATCGAACCCAGGGCCTCATGCATGCAAGGCAAGCGCTCTACCACTGAGCCACCTTCCCAGCCCAGTCATCTATTCTTTTAATACATTTTATAACACATAATTCTTCCTACTAACCTGAGGAATAATAAAATTGAATTAAGTGCCCAATTTGAAGAGTTTTGACAGACAAAGCCAATATCATAATCAATATACAGCTCATTTCCATAAATCTCAAAATCCTTTTAACTTCTGCAATCCATCCTTCGCTCTTTACCCCAATACTGATTTGCTTTTAAGTTACTATGGATTACTTCTATTGTAAATAAATGGAACCATACAGCATGTATTCTTTTATATCCAGTGTCTTTTGATCAGAATGAAGAGTTTGATATGCGTCACTTGGTCCCTTTATACTGCTCAACAGTATTATATATGCCACTTTTTGTTCATTCACTTGTTGACATCTGGGTTGTTTTCCAATTCAGGACTGTTAGGAACAAGGCAACTATCAGTATTTGAATATAGGTTTATGTTTGTTTGTGTTAGGGTTGGGGCTTGAATTCTGGGCCTGAGCACCATCCCTGAGCTTCTTTCAATCAAGGCAAGCACTTTAACGCTTGGGCTATAGTGCCACTTCCGGATTTTTTGAGTTTATTAAAGAGTCTCACTGAGTTTCCTGCCCAGGATGGCTTTGAACTGTGATCCTAAGATCACAGCCTACTCAGATGATCTGAGTAGTTAGGATTACAGGCATGAGCTACTGGCACCTGGCTGTATGCTCATCTTCTTAAGAAACTACCAGAATGACACAAAGTAGTGTTGCCATTTTGCATCTGCAATAGCAATGTGTGAGAATTTCTTTGGCTTCATATTCTTGCCAACAATTTGTTAACTTTTTTTTTCCGGGGTGAGGGGGTCAGTCGTGGGGTTTGAATTCTAGGCTTGGGCGCTGTCCCTCAGCTCTTCAGCTCAAGGCTAGCACTCTACCACTTGAGCCACAGCGCCACTTCCAGTTTTCTGAGTGGTTTATAAGATAAGAGTTCATGGAGGGACTGGGAAGGTGGCTCAGTGGTAGAGCGCTTGCCTTGCATGCCTGAGGCCCTGGGTTCGATTCCTCAGCACCACATAAGCAAAAAGAAAAAAGCCGGAAGTGACGCTGTGGCTCAAGTGGTAGAGCGCTAGCCTTGAGCTGAAGGACTGAGGGACAGCGCCTAGGCCCAGAGTTCAGGCCCCACAACCGGACCCAAAAAAACCCAACAAACAAACAAACAAAAAACAATGTCATTGCCTTCCCTCATTTTCCCTCAGTTTCCTCCTCCTGTCCCTTCCCACAAGTTACATGGTTCATTTTCTACATAGCATATAGTGAATATCATGACTGTATCTGTTTACCCTTCCTCCCTCCCTTTCTGTGCCCTCCTTAAAGAAAAAAAAGAAAAACAAAAAATCAGAGCAAGTCAGGCGCTGGTGGCTCATGCCTGTAATCCTAGCTACTCAGGAGGCTGAGATCTGAGGATCACGGTTCAAAGCCAGCCCAGGCAGGAAAGTCAGTGAGACTCTCGTCTCCAATAAACCACTGGAAAACCATAAGTGGCGCTGTAGCTCAAGCTGTAGAGCACTCACCTTGAGCCGAAGAGCTGAGGGACAGCGCTGAGGTCGAGTTTAAGCCCCACAACCAACAAAAAAAAAAAAGCAAAAAACAAACAACCCCCCGCCCCCCCCGCAAAAAAAAGCTTCTATTTCCTGAAATTCATTTCAATAAACAGTATTTTAAATGTTCAGTGAAGTTCTTCCCCTTAAGGGTATCTTCATTAGTCTGACTATACGTGAATGCCTAGAGTCCTGCCTAGGTTATTATGTCCAGTTATATTTTAGATCTAGCTTCCACATATGAGATAAAACATGTACACTCTCTCTGAGCTTGGCTTACCTCACTCAATATGATTTGTTCTAAATCTATTCATTTCTCTGCAAATGACATTATTTCATTTTTTCAAATGGATGAGTTTGCATTGTGTATATGTACCACACTTTACTGATCTACTCACTCATCTACTGAAGGGAATCTGGGCTATTTATACAATTTGGCTATTGTGAACATAACACAAGTTTTTAAAACAGAAAGTCAGAGTTTAATTCTAGTTTCCATAATTAATTGTGTAACCTCTACATTAGTTAAACCAAGTTTGCTCAACTGAAAAATAAAAACAATTGCACCTTCACAGAATTGTATTGAGAACTAAGTTAAAGCCAGGCACCAGTAATTCATGCCTGTTGTCCTAGTTATTCAGGAGGCCAAGATCTGTAGGACTGTGGTTCCTGTGCAGCAAGAAAGTCCTCAAGCATCCTATATTTCTAATTAACCAGCAAAAAAGAAAAAAAGAGAAAAAGAAAAGAGCTGAGAGGATACTAATGGCTCACACCTGTAATCCAGTTACTTGGGGAACTGAGAGGTGGAGGGTCATGGGTTAATGTCAGCTCAGGCAGAAAAGTACAAGAGATTCCATCTCCAAAATAACCAGTAAAAGGCTGGGCTGGAGATGTAGCTCAAGTGGTAAAGCATCACCAATGAACAAGCAAAGGCAAACAAGCACAAGGCCCTGAGTTTAAGCCTTAGTACTGACAAAAAAAAAAAGTGTGAATTGTCCAGTCTAACACACCGTGGGGCTTATTGAAACAAAAGGAGAACTGTACTCTGTGCATACATTTTCTATGAATGTTGAAGATACAGATGGATCCACTATCCTGAATATAAAGAAAGCCTCTAACTACAGGATTCTGTACTGACATAAATACTCCTTATCTTGGTAGTCTCCTTGATTTTATTTATTTACTTTTTAATTTTTTTTTGGCGGTCATGGGGCTTGAACTCTGGGCTTGGGCGCTGTCCCTGCGCTCTTCAGCTCAAGGCGAGTGCTCTACCACTTGAGCCACAGCACCACTTCTGGGTTTCTAGTGGTTTATTGGAGATAATAGTCTCAGGGACTTTCTTGCCTGGGCTGGCTTTGAACCGCGATCCTCAGATCTCAGCCTCCTGAGTAGCTAGGGTTACAGGTGTGAGCCACCGGCACCGGACTTTCCTTGATTTTAAAAATAAGTCAGTGCAGAGAAATTTGAATATACTCTTGGAACATGAAGTAGTTAGTGATATTTATAAGCTAGGCATTTAAGAAGCACTTCAACATTCTATATAAAACAATAAATTAAAAATATAGCATTATACTTTAAAATTTGGATCAAAACTACTTCTCCTTACTTAGACCATGTGAGAAATACCTGAACTACTTCCCAGGCACAGTTCCCATGTTAGGGCCTCAGTATAACAGCAAGCCAGTTGCCAGTGCCTCTTCCAACTCATTTTAACCTTGTAACTAACCTTATACTAGTAGACTAATTCTATTCTCTAGTGAGTTATATATGAGTTATATACACTGGTATCCAACAGTCATTTATAAAAGTAAACAAGTCACTGGGACTCATAATAGGTCACACAATATTTCCTACACCAAGTTCAAATTAAACAAAATATCCAAGAGAGAAACTATGTTATGTTTTTCTGTGTAAAACTTCAAACTATAGCCAAGAATAAATTGCATTAAGGTACATGCCAATCAATGTCAGTCCAACTGCAAGTCTGTGTCACAAAGGACACTGGATGAATTCAAGCCAAGCCAAAGGGCTTAAGTTATATGGGAAACATAGTAGTACATGAAACCAAAGGCTCAAATGGAAGAGTAGAATTAGAAATTAGTAGGTAGAGAAATAAAGCTAATAGTCCAGCTGCGATCAAGTTCAATACCAAAGGGCTATAAAGACAAGGTTTCTTTTGAGAAAATAAGATAAAAACAATATCAAATTGGAAATTCAAGGAAAAAGTAAGGATAAATGTGCTGAGGGCAGGGAAAAAAAAACTTCAATACCAAACCCTAAGGCAATAAATGGAGAATAAGAGTGGTAATGTCCTACAATAATTAAAAAAGGGCAAAAGCCTTCAAGAACAAGAAGTACAAGTTTTGTTTTGGGTTTTTTTTTTTGTTTTTTGTTTTTTTTGGTCAGTCATGGAGCTTGAACTCTGAGCTGTCCCTAAGGCTCTTCAGCTCAAGGAGAGTACTCTACCACTTGAGCCACAGTGCCACTTCCGGTTTTCTGGTGGTTACTGGAGATAAGAGTCTCATGGACTTTCCTGCCCAGGCTGGCTTTGAACCATGATCCTCAGATCTCAGCCTCCTGAGTAGCTAAGATTACAGGTATGAGCCACCAATGCCCAGCAAAGTATCATTTTTAATTGAAGAATAACACACACTCACTGAGTTCATAAAAGGAACTGAGAGATTTACCATGGCCTGCAGTTAAAAAAAAACAACAACAAAAAACATCAGATTTCTCAATCTATAGCTACTAAAATAGTAGTTAATTTCTAAGCTTAAGTCTCAGAAATGTCCTGGAAAGCATTGCAGCACAGGTAAGCCATGCTCCAGCAGGCCTTTTCTAGGATGGGCTAGAGTGACCATACTTACTGGAGTCCTCCCATTGGAGTAAGTGTAGCTTCCATGCAGAGTAATACAAAAATCCCAGTACTAAAAAGAGGCAAAGGGCTAGCAGCAGATTGCGCACAAATACCAAGAGTCCCATCTTCACATGATTTACAATTTCCGACATGACCTAAAAAAATAAAAATAAAAATCAGTCTTAAAAGAGAACATAATCATCTTATTGATATACTCTACTTTAAGAAGAAGTATCAGCCGGGCACTGGTGGCTTATCCTGTAATCCTAGTTATTCAGGAGGCTGAGATCTGAGGATCACGGTTCAAAGCCAGCCCGGGCAGGAAAGTCTATGAGACTCTTATCTCCAATAAACCATTAGAAAACCGGAAGTGGCGTTGTAGCTCAAGCAGTAGAGCGTTCGCCTTGAGCTGAAGAGCTGAGGGATAGCACTCAACCCGAGTTCAAGCCCCATGACCAACAAAAAAAAAAAAAAAGAAGAAGAAGAAGAAGTATCTATAGAGAGAAGTTCCAAACAAAGAGCAATCACTAAGCTTATGATATAGCATCTCCAGCCTGCTCATCTCAATCTCAAGGAACAGCTTCACCATGGCATAGCAACCAAGTGAGAAATCAGTGGCTACCCTTGTGTAACATCTGGCTTTAGCTTTTCTCCAGGTAAACTTATTTGCTTTTCAGGAAAGAATAATAACAAACGCAGGAAATAATCATTATAAACATACATGTCCTATACAGTTGTTGTCCAAATATATATGACACATTATTAGCTACAAAAGAGATATACTCCAATATAGTAATAGTTGGGGACTTCAATACTCCACTTTTCATCATTGAATAGATCATCTAGACCAAAAAGATCAACAAAGATCAGTCAACAAAGAAATATCAAAGAAACCAAAGGGACTTAACAGATGCTACAGATCATTTAACTCAGCTGCAGACTTTACATTCTTTTTTTTGTGTGTATTTATTTTTTCCGGTCGTGGGGCCTGAACTCTGGGCTTGGGCGCTGTCACTCAGCTCGTCAGCTCAAGGCTAGTGCTCTACCACTTGAGCCACAGTGCCATTTCCGGCTTTTTTCTTTTTGCTTATGTGGTGCTGAGGAATCAAACCCAGGGCCTTGAGCATGCAAGGCAAGTGCTCTACCACTGAGCCACCTTCCCAGCCCAGACTTTACATTCTTCTCATCAGTACATGTAATATTCTCCAGAATAGACTTTATGTTAAACAAAACAAACATGGTAAAAATGCCAACCAGCAAATTCTTTGGAGAGCAATTTAGAAATACTTACTGAAATTTAAAATATTCTTCCACCTTGACCAGTACTCCTGCCAATATCACTTTTCCCTTAAGTAACAGTGCAACAAACGGAGAAAATGACAAACAGGATTGTTCATGGCAACTCTGGTTATAAAAGCAAAATACTACAAACAGTTAAAATGCCTAATAACAATGGCATCAGCTGGGGTCTTGGCAGCAAACAGATGGTACATACAAAGAACTAAACTGAAGGAGGCTTAACAGCAGGATTTCTAAAACTGTCAGTAGAGCTAAAAAGAACTGACAAGGAATGATAACACAGACAGAGACTAGCAAAGGCAGGAGCTGAAGCCAGAAGGGCATCACTGGAGTCTGACAACAGCTGGCTGAAGAGAAGCTGGTCATCTGCACCATGGCCTCTACTAAAACCCTGGCAATAGGTAATATAGTCTGACCTCTCTCAAAACTTGCCCTCTCATCTCCTGTTGATGTCTGGTCAGCTGATCCCAAATGGAAGCCAGAGATCAAGGGAGCTCAGGTAATTCAATACAGAAGTCAGCCATTAGCATACTGAGCAAACAGGTGAATAATTCCTCAAGGGCAGGAGAATAAGTACAGAATATGATGTACCAATCAGACAGAATAAGGCACACCAGGTGCCGGTGGCTCACACCTGTAGTCCTAGCTACTCAGGAGGCTGAGATCTGAGGATTGAAGTTCAATGCCAGCCCAGACAGGAAAGTCCCCATGAGACTCTTATCTCCAATTAACCACTCAAAAACCGGAAGTGGCACTGTGACTTAAGTGGTAGAGCACTAGCCTTGAGCTGAATTGCTCAGGGACAGTGCCCAGGCCCAGAGTTCAGGCCCCACGATCAACAACAACAACAAAAAAGTATCTAGAGGAAAGGTATGTGTATGTGTAACCTTATACCAGCAAGAACAAATACAACAGTAACTTTAGAATTACGTAGATTTGGAACTGATGTTTTCAGCACCTATTTATTCATGTACTTATTTTTAATAAGTTTTTAGACAAACAAAAGTCAGAAGTATCATGACTGTATAGCTTGTCCAAACAAACTCCCCTGGAAACAATTAAAATATAGGGTATAAACAGCCTGCAAGTGATTCTGGAAAGCTTTTTTTTCCCTTTAAGAAGGGAATTGAAGCATTTCACAACAATTTCTGTCTTAAATGCAAATGTGATTTCTGATTTGTCACAGCCAGGCACTGACTACAACTCAGGGCTCTGGCACATTCAACAGTGAGTCAACAGTTATTGACATCAACTACAGAAGCAAGGCTGTACCAACCACCTTCCTACTTTCAATCTTTTCCATTAAGAAAACAATTCTATGAAGAGAGTAGGGCATCTTAAACTAAACAACAAAGAAAAATGTGACAAAAACATACATCATGTTTTATTTACTATCTGGTAAGCTCTCCTGCCTAAGCTTCCTAATAACTTAAATTACAAGTATATACCACCACATCTAGTCCTCACGAAAGTCTTGTTAACCCCACTACTTCCTCTAGCCAATTCTTACTTGTTCTTAAGTCTCCGCATAAAGCCTAATTCATTCCACAGATAAGTGTAATCTGTCTCCATACTTCAGGCTAAGACTCCCTGCCAGATATTCCCATAGCCCCTATATGCCCCATGGCATCTCATGACATACTTGCAATTTTTTAAGAATTTACAATTTAAGCCGGGCCCTGGTGGCTCACGCCTGTAATCCTAGCTACTCAGGAGGCTGAGATCTGAGGATCGTGGTTCAAAGCCAGCCTAGGCAGGAGAGACCGTGAGACTCCTATCTCCAATAAACCACCAGAAAACCGGAAGTGGCGCTGTAGCTCAAGTGGTAGA